TGGAATAAAATTAAACAAATGAGAACGTTCACTTTTAATTAAAACAAATATACACTTGTAGCTAAAAAGAATTTGGATCTCTCATGAAAGTAAAAAAGCCATTATGGTTAGTCTGTTAATGTGTCAGGCTCAATATGATAAAATACAGTATAATTAATTTCAGTGCAAAAGACAAAGCATACACTGTATTATCATCCTAAACTCAATATTTATTTAATACATTATATTGTAGTAGGATAGCCACCGAAGAAGATTACTCAGACATGGGTTTAATTCATTAGAAAATTTTTATTAGCCAGCCCATGACTCTACTGGGTATTTGGAATGTCATTGTAATCAGAGAGAGTTTTCAAGTACAAAGCTAAATCCTGGGGTGACACACATCAGGTAGCAAGTACATACCTTCTCCCCAAGGAGTATATATCTACTGAAAGATGTAGATAAAGTATTAAAATTCCTCAGATTGTGGCTTGGACTTCCAAGACGGCAATAAGGCATGTGTGCCTGACACTTTTCTCATTAGAGGGAGGAAAGGAATTGGAATTGTAGACACTTTATTAATATTGACTTGAATGTTTCTCTCTTTCTTCCTAAATAAGCCAGTGAAGCCTTAATGAATTTGCTTCATTTTTAAATGGAAAGACAGTACAAGATATCAAGAAACATTATACCATCAAAATAAAACTACATATACAGACATCAATGAAGTGTCTGAGAAATAGCCCAAAATGATTGTCTTAAATAAAGTTAGACTGCTGACAGTAGACAAAGTACAAAACAAAGGGAATTCAATAAAATAATTCAATGTGATAGCTTACAATTTCTGTGCCTATGACTTACATTTCTGTACATTTTCCATGCTAGAGAAAATGTATGATTTGATTTGTTTCCAGATCACTCTCCTGATTGTCCCCCGTGGTATAGCCATAGTTTATTTCTTCCTCTTCCTCAAAACCTATTGCGATGGGATAGTTTAGAATGTTATCATGAGTATCCTGGAATTGGATAAAACACAAGTTCAGGAAACCTGTGATAGACCTCCTTAATCAGGATATCTGGATAGCACTTTCTGATAGCATCCAGAAACTTTGCTTTTTGAAAACTTGCTTTCATTAAGCTGGAGAGTTCACTAGTATCAGAAGCTTCTTCAGGCTCCAAGCAAAGCCAAAAGGCCAGGCACTCTCCAGGAATTCTCTAGGCTTCCAGCACCAGATTATGTCTACTGAGACATCAAACCATATGGATTGAAAAAACTACCAGATTCTTGGCCTTTCCAGTGGGAGAAAGCTGTTTCTGTATATTTGGGAAAGGGAGAGATTGGGGTAATCCACTTGTAATGAAAAACATGGTCAAATGTCAGAAATGGGGAAGCAAGCATAAAAATAATTCTTGCCCCCAGCCATCAGAAGGAGCCAATCTGCCAAGACACTGAACATGTATATTTTGCCTCTGAAATTGTGGAATAAACTATTTCTATTTGTTAAATTACCCAGTGACTAGTTTGTTGTTGCGGTTTCCTATTGTGAGGATTCACATAACGTGTAGAGCACATTAAAAGAAGCTGAACAGGTTCTATAACTCCTAGTCCATATAAGAAAGACTCTAGAGACTCAAATAAATTATCCTGGAAAACATAAATCACTTTTCTGGAGATTTGTAGTAATAGGGAAAGAGAATGTATAATTCGTAACTCATATTAGGGACGGGGTTATAAAAAAGCATTCATAGAAATTGGCAGTGTCCTCTGCCAATTTGAGGTATAATGGAATAATGGACAATGGAAAACAAAGGCATTTAGTCATTTTGACTTCTTAGGTCAGTGGCTCTTAAAATATAATCCATTGACCAGAACAGTATTACCACCCGAGAACATGTTAAATGCTAATTATCTAATTTCACTTCTTAATTTCTGACTTAAAATCTTCTTAGGGAATAGCTATGTTTGTTTTTAAATGACCATCCTGGTGATTCTGTTGAACACTGAATTCTGTGGATCATAGACATATACATTAATTCCCTATGCCCATTTTAAATAGGATATATAACAACTAGAAGGTGATTAGAGGTTGCCATGTCCTGACAGTTATTGCTATCTTCTATTAATAAGAAAGGCTTTTTTTACTGTGGTAACATAGTGTAAATTTTGAAGATTAGACATCTTTTATGGTATCAAGTCTCTAAAGTTACACCTATTGATGGTGTTCGGATTTAGGACATTAGTTGGAAGTGTGATAATAAATATTTGTTTTCTAACATGGACAAAACTAATTAAATAGGAGACAAAACTTATTTTTGTGCCTAGCGTACTACACAAGGAATAGGTCTGAATAGGTGTTGCATACATTTAATACTTTATTACTGGAACACTGGTGTCATTTGCTGGTGATAGGACACATTTTAACATGTGGAGCAGAGGATGATAATGCTGCTGTGTAATGCCTGATCAAACATGCTAAACACAATTTTTCTTGGTGCTTCTGTTCCATTGTGATTTTTCTTCTATCTCTACCTTCTCCATCACAAAATTACTCAGCCTCATTTAGTTAAAACAGGTAGAAGTTGATAAATATTCTAGAAATTCAAATTAATTGACTAGTAATTGTTAGATGTCCAGTCAATGAAACAACTTCCACATCTAAAAGTACTGATTATTTCTTCAATGAACAATCCTAGATATATTTATTGTTGTGAAATATTACAGTTGATGAGTATGGATAATTTGTGCAATGAAGATTTTTATTACTAAGGAATATGGACAATCTAATAGAATATATGTTCTGGAAATGGAAAGAGGGTAATAGATGTACTGAATGAGTCTATCCATATTGGAACAGTAAGAGAGACAATTTGTCTTTTTGGTGTTGGTGTTGTTTTCATGTAAAAAAGTAATATTTCCAGGATTTTCTATGAAAATTCAATCCTTATTGAATTAAAAAGTATTTATATATACAATAAATCAAGTAAAAGCACTTGCAAGCAAACTTTAAAGACTTAATAAATGTGATCAGCCACAATATACATGATAAGAGATATATTAGACATTAGCTAATTAAACTTACCTTATAAACCCCCATAACCATACTTGGTAGTTATTTCCCTCAATGTAGCTCATTTACTTGGTTAAATTTCTTTGTCTACATGTTTTTTCTGAAATTCAGTATGCTGAACTTTACATAACACACATAATCTCTAACATTTTATTTCACCCATTTGTACAATACATGAAATATTCTGATGTACACTCATCAAATCATACATTCTATAGTAAGTGCAATATATGAGCTAAATATATGTCAATTAAATGTGAACAATATAAAAAATGCAGAGTCATATGACCAAAGAATAATGTATGCATGTGAAGAGAGTAGCAAAACATCATAAATATCCACTTTTCAAACTCAAAAGACTAATAAGGAACTCATTGTACCTATTTATTTTCAATAATTCAGTAGAGCAGGAATCCCTCCCCAAGGCTGTGTAATTAACAAATATATAGTAGGTAGGTTATGAGGAAAGCCATTGAGGAAAAAGTCAGAGTATGCAGTTTGGCCTAGTAACAACAAGATGAATAGAAGTGATGAAGTAGACTTGTTAGAGAATATGTGCCTAATATGTAGGGCCAAATGAATCATAATTAAAATAGGAACATTATCTCTTGGTCAGTTATCTATTTGACACTTCTGCTTTTGGTAGGTGATGTTTGATTAAGGGCTGCTGAAAGAATGAAGTTGCTTTGAATAGTTGGTCTGTTTTTGGCAAAATGTACAATACATCAACTCTAACTCAGAAATGAATACTAATCACAGAATTACGGAGTTTCACAGAGATACATAATATAGATTAGATGATGTGTTTGAGTTTTATATTTTCTCTAGTCTACTCATTTATAACTACTCAGAATAAGAAATTTACAGTACCATCTACTTATTGCTGCATGTGACAGTTTTGCTACCTGCCATATTTTTCACCTGGAGAACTAGCTGTTTTATAATTTCAGTTCATAGTCTCATTCGATGCATGGGTCCCAGTTTTCAGAAAAGTGTTTGGAAAACTCCCTTGGGAATATGGCTTAACTTCACATTAGCTAAGCTTAGCAATGAAATACTTTGGGGGTTTCCTTGGTGTTTATGAAAGTCACTGACTATTGCACATTTTAAAATGTGTTTGAAATTTTGCTGTGAGGCAGTAGATGAGTTCACACCAGAGAAAGTGGCTTTTTGGTAGAAAGTTTTCTGAGTTGGTAAGTGTCAGTGACAATTTGAAGTTTGACAGAAAACTTAAGCAGACAAGATATTCAGCATAAGAATTCAATCAGCACTTTCTCTGCTTATGAGCAGATGTGTTTTTTGATACAGTTTTTTTGTTATTTTGAAATTTAGAAAAGCAATGTGGTTTTGAGTGGTCTGGTGCATACTTGTACACAGACCACTATTCTGATAGAGATATAATATATCTGCATCAGAATGAGCCATTAAAATTGATGCATGTAATAAAAAGAGAACCCCGTCATTTTTTTGTTTTCTGTAGCCATGTTTTCATTGTAGTATTGACAGATGACTGAGATATTATTGATTGCTTTAATTGTAGCAACATAACGACTGTTAAAACTGGGGAGTGAGGTGTCATTTTTATGCAGGTAAGAGCTGTGTGCTTAAATGTAGGCCCTGATAATCATGGCATAGTTATTTGCTAGCTTACTAAAGAACAGGCCCTTAGACAGTTTATTTATTAGTTGTGGGTTAAGTAGAAGATAAACAAAAATTATCAAATTCACTTTCATCGGAGACCCAGGGAACAACTGACTCAGTATATTCATTTCTTTTCGCTTAAAAAAGCCATCCCTATTTTATAGTCAATTCTAGGTATTGTATTGAAGTCAGTCACAGATATTTGTGGCACCCTTTATAGATTCAAGACAAAAAGGGAAATTTACTTTAAATATAGGAATGTCATCTACCTGCATTCTTGTAACAAAAATAATGTACAGTCCTCAATTTTGCTCAGAAAACGTAATTTAATAAAGCTTCATTTGTTTTGTCACATGACTTACAAGTTACAAGAGTCAAGTACAGACATGTTCAGCTCTGTTCACCTGACGTATCATGTAGTAACAACCATATAACATCTTATTATTGATCAGGTTAAATTTACCACAAAAATTCAACCCAACAATCATTGCTTATGTGCAACTATATTTGTTCTTTGATTCCCAATGATTGACCATTTTGTGTGGTAGCAGTTTTGAAATACTCAGTTTCTAATTCCCTATTCACAGATATATGTTAACTCTAGTCATTAATTTTTGGATAAACTGTTTTGTTTAAAAAATAGATTATTTTCTGCACTGGTAACATGCTTTATAGATTGATTTGAAACATTTAGATGTTATTGGAATCTGTTACAATTCTAAGGTTCTTTACTGTGCAAATTGCATAACTTTTCACCAATTTGTTCAAAGTCAGGAAGCAGACTCCTTAGAGCAAATCTAGCTATTTCCATTTCTTTGAAACTGGGCATTTTCACAATGCTAATTCTGTATGACAGCAGTCATTTCTACTACCCAAAGGCCTTTGCTTTTTATCTTGCCTTCCTCATTTATTCAGAGTCGGTGCACTGTACCCTTGGAAATCTCCACTGGCTTTCATGATAGTTTGCTATGTAATTTTCATCCATTGTGGACTCATTTCTGAAGGAGGCTCCAAGCTTTCACCTCTGATCGGTCCATTTCTTTTCTCTTGGGAGTTCCTAATGACCTTAAATCAATAGTCAAGTGCTATCTGCTTATGTGCGATACTGCTTCTATCAGCACAAAACATTTCAGAATAGATGTCCTTTTCAAAAATGAAGGGTACACAATGAATAACTTCCTTAATTTCAGACACCTCATGCTATGGAAGGTCTGTCCATGCCCCCTTTGTTTTTACAAAAAATTACACAGATTATTCTTTAGTTCTTTTAAGTCAACTTATTTGTTGATTCTATGAAATAATTTATGAAATTGACTTTCAGGACACCACTCTCCTGGTAGTATAATTTCCTCTGTGACTACTGCCTTTCAGTCTCCTTTGTTAATTTATTTGTTCTCTTAACTTCTAGTTTCTCTAAAAACTACTTCCTTAAGTCACATTAATAATCAATTTTTCACTCCCATTCTACCTGTTGTTCAGAAAAGTAAAAGAAAAATTTAATTATCTTTCACCCATGTCTTCTTCTTATACATCCAACCCATCAGCAAATAGTGGTATCTCTATCTTTGAAATATATCAAGAACATTGTCCACCATTTTTGCAGTCCCTTGATCTTGCCAAATATACTCTCCACACAGTCCATTTTAATCCATTATTCTATCTGCCAGTCACTTCATCCAAGTGCCTTCTTAAATGTCACCATATAAAGGAGTGTTTCTGCAACGGTAAAACTAACACTTGTGATTCAACAATCCATGACTCAACAAATTTAAAGTCATTTTGTTTACACATTTCAATATGTGACCAATAATCAGTATGTTTACTTGATTTCTGGTAGTTGTTTACAGACATAATAGAATAAAAACAGGTAAGGTTTAGATGTGGTTTCTTTTAGAAGTATTCTCATTGTTTGATGCATCCCTTGGCATGGAGTAAGGTCTCAGAAGTAAACTAATTAGGACTGTAGAGATGTCTCAATGGTTAAAAGCATTTGCTCTTCTATCTTAGGATCCAAGTTCAGTGACCAGCATGCAAGTGAGGTGGATATTTGTAGCTCCAGATATCCAAGGTCCTCCATATGTCTCCATGAGCTCCTGAACTCAGATAAACAAACCTACACTCAGATACTCATACATAGGTACATTAAAAAACAAATTTTAAAAGTATCAATATTTACTGAAATAAAACCAAATTAATTCCCACTTTGTATTATGTCTTCTCTAAATGACACCCCCTATTTTATTAATTAAATTTGTCATTTGACATTTTCATCTCTTAATAAATTTGAACCTTAGAGCCTTTATTCATTTCACAATTATTGATTCAAATAGTAAAAGTATTATTATGCATTTTGGAGTAAGATAAATCATTACATATATTTGCAAATCATGGAACTACTCAAGAGCAATCTCTCCAAATTCTCTTTCTCACATACTAGAAATAATAACATTGAGAAACAGGGATTGCATGTCTGTGATGTGTGTCACCAGATTCCTTATTATAGAGGTGCCATTTGTATACTGGAGGTGAGTGTTTTGAAAGAAGCAGTGTAGTAAGCCCCTATCTTTGCACTGGCTCCAATACTCTGTAGACTTTCTAAGTTTTTCTAGAACTATTTCTTCCCTACCACCAAATGCCATAATTTTCTTTAGGTTTAATGCTATACTCTCCACCAGTTTATTATCCATTCATCTTTCTTATCCTATTTTTTCCCAAATAAATAGTAGGAACTTTTTAAGTGTTCACTCTTCCCTTTAAGACAATTTCATTAGCACATTTTTGTCTCTTAGTAGAGACTCAATGAATATCTATGTATTATCCATTAATTCCTTCTGCAAAACATCCTAAATCCAAGTTTATGACCCTTATGTATTCTTCATGTATAATAAAGTGTTTGAGATGTTTATGAGAAATTCCTCACACCTGCTTTGAGGCCTGGAAGCAGAATTTGAAGCTTACTATATATCAATTATGTGCTATTCTTTAAATTTTCATTTTAATATTATGTGGTAGGTATTCATCCTGAATCAAAAATACTTTTCATATATTTTATGTCAGTATCGTGCTTTTAACTTGAGTTGTCTCTCACACAGTCATGTGCTTGAATATTTGGTTCCAAAATTGAATGAATTCTTGGTTCCCAAATTGGAACACAGTTTGAAGCTGTTATGGAATATTTGGTATATAGGGCCTATTTTAATACAGACCAGTAGGACAATACCATAAGAATTATAGCCTAATTTCCTGGGATCATAAAATGTAAAAAAAACGTGTTATAAGCTTCATTACAACTGAAACAGTGAAACAAACATCTCTTCCTTTAAGGTATTTCTATCAGCTGTTTTATAACAGTAAAGAGAAAAGTAAGTAACATAATCACTAACCATTTTTTCAAACAACATTTGAAACTTAGCAATGCCCCACAAATCTCCTTTAGACATGCTTTTTGAATTAATAGGATACTGGAGGATTGATGAAAATTCTTCACCTTTTCAACTTTACCCATAATGATTTAATAATACAGGCTTACTAAATACAGCGATGCAAATCAGAGGACCTAGTATGCAGAGTAGGTTAATTATAATTACATGAGATCATGAAGTCAAGAGGATTTATTAGAATTAACTATGAGCTGTATTCAACCATAGGGACTATCACAGAATTTAATAGTGCATCGCAGGTAAGGTATACGAAATTTTGTTCCTGTTATTACAGTATGTTTTCACTGTGAGCCATTTGAACTAATGAGGATTGTGTTTATTCAAAATTAGGTGCACTGACCAAAGATGATTGTAAAAATATTAGCAGTGGTATTTAACAATGGTCACAGTGCACTGCTACTGTGGTATATCTATTAAAATATGAAAAATATTTTCCATCTATTCAATTAAGCGAAGCATATCAAGTACTTTGTTCCTAGTACAAGTTTAAATTTTATTGGATATTCTTCATCCTACTTCTCTTTGAAGCAATTTGGAATATAGAAGTGTGAAATTAATTTGATTGCACAAAAACACAAGGGTTTTAGAATACAGAACAAGTGTCAGCTAAAGAAATGCTTGTGATTCAGTCTACAGCAATTGGGACTTTTGTAGCTCTTCACGATGTGTGATCATCAATGAAATGCACACGAATCTCAGTCCCAGAGCCACAATACCATCACCACCTTTCAGCTTGTTATTTAATCCACATTTTAAAGACTAAAATAAATTAACAATAATTTTTTATCTAGTTTGTGATTAGTATCTTAAACAGTTTCTATTCACTACCCCCATTAGCACAAACATTTTGTGGCCCCTAGAATTAAGATATATGAACTAGACAAACAAATCAAGCATTTACTCATAATAACGAAATTTCTTTTAAAACAAACCTTTAACATACATATAACCTGAGAGGAGCCAGGGAGTCCAGGGAAGCAGCTGTTATGGCGGCGGCATCAGGTACAACAGGCCCTGATTCTTGGCCTGTGTTCCAGTGGTTGGGGATCCCCTGGGAACTGCACAGAGCTTCCAATCCCAGCAGGAGCCAAGCACCCCAGACTCCTGGACTTCTCCCCCACCAACGAGACCAGGAAAACAGAGGAGCCAGGGAGACTAGGGGAGCAGCTGTTCCAGCCACAGGATCAGTTACAATAGGATCCAGCAAAGGGTCCAGTGAACCAGGTGGGAGGCTAAGCGCTCCAGATTTCTGTTCTTCTTCTCCAACCACGGGACCAGAACAAGGACAAGGAATAGAAGAACCACCAGATTATTGGACTTGCTAGCACCCACCAAAAGGGAACTCTGGTCCCCTAACCACCAGACCAGTAAGGGGCTCTTTCTGCACCCACTAGAAGAAGAGATGGGAAAGAGACAATACAAAAACACACTCATCAACAGAAAAACAATTATGACACCGCCAGATTCTAGAGACTCCACACCAGCAAGACTCCAAAATTCCAATGCGAAAGAAGCAGAAGAGAATGACCTTAAAACCACTTTCATGAAAATGACAGAGGCCCTAAAAGAGGATATAGGAAAATCCTCAAAGAAATGGAAGAAAAACAAACCAAAAAATGCAAGAAATGAAAGAAAAAACAAACCAAAATATGCAAGAATTGGAAGAAAAAACAAACCAAAAAAGGCAGGAAATGGAAGAAGAAACAAAGCAAAGAATGCAAGAAATGGAAGAAAAAACAAAGCAAAAAATGCAAGAAATGGAAGAAGAAACAAACCACAAAAGGCAGGAAATGAAAGAAGAAACAAAGCAAAAAATGCAAGAAATGGAAGAAAAAGCAAATCAAAAAATACAAGAAATGGAAGAAAGAACAAACCAAAAATTTCATAAAAGGCAACAAATAGACGAAAAGATAAACTGAAAAATTCAAGAAGCAATGCAAACACTGCAAGGGTTGAAAACTGAAATAGAGACAATAAAAAAAAACACAATCTGAAGAAAGGCAGGAAATAGAAAAGCTGGGCAAACAGTCAGGTACTACTGATACAAGCATTACCAATATGCCCACATGAAGAAACTGGAGAATAGTTATACTAGAGAATTAGCAGCACAGTTGAAAGCTCTAGAACACAAAGAAGCAAACTCCCCCAGGAGGAGTAGACGTCAGGAAATAATCAAAAGGAGGGCTGAAATCAATAAAGTAGGAACTAGGAAAACAATACAAAGAATCAATGCAACGAAGAGTTGGTCTTTGAGAAAATCAACAAGATAGACAAACCTTTGTCCAAACTTACCAAACAGCAGAGAGTGAACATGCAAATTAACAAAATCAGAAATGAAAAGGGGGACATAACAACAGACTCTGAGGAAATCCAGGAAATCATGATGTCATACTTTGAAAACCTGAACTCCACAAAATTCGAAATTTTAAAGGAAATGGACGACTTCCTGGATATCTATCACTTACCAAAACTAAATCAAGAACAAATAAGCCATTTAAATAGACCTATAACCACTATGGAAATAGAAGCAGTCATCAAAAGTCTCCCAACCAAAAAAAGTCCAGGTCCAGATGGCCTCAGTGCAGAATTCTACCAGAAATTCAAAGAACAGCTTATACCAATTCTTCTCAAAGTATTCCACACAATAGAAGCAGAAGGGTCTTTGCCAAATTCTTTCTATGAGGCTTCAATAACCTTGATCCTCAAGCCACACAAAGACACAACTAAGAAAGAGAACTTCAGATCAATATCCCTCTTGAACATTGATGCAAAAATACTCAATAAAATACTGGCAAATCGGATCCAAGAACACATCAAAACAATCATTCACCACGATCAAGTAGGTTTCATCCCAGGGATGCAGGGATGGTTCAACATATGAAAATCCATCAACGTAATCCACCATATAAACAAGCTGAAAAACAAAAATCACATGATCATCTCACTAGATGCTGAAAAGCCTTTGACAAAATCCAACACCCCTTCATGATAAAGGTCTTGGAGAGATCTGGGATAACAGGGACATACTTAAACATAAAAAAGCTATATACAGTAAACCAACAGCAAACATCAAACTAAATGGACAGAAACTCAACGCAATTCCTCTAAAATCAGGAACAAAACAAGGCTGTCCACTCTCTCCATACCTTTTCAACATTTGTACTTGAAGTTCTAGATATTGCCATATGACAACAAAGGGGGATCAAGGGAATACAAATTGGGAAGGAAGAGGTCAAACTTTCACTGTTTGCAGATGATATGATAGTTTACATGAATGACCCCAAGACCTCTACCAGGGAACTCTTACAGCTGATTAACACCTTCAGCAAAGTGGCAGGCTACAAGATCAACTCAAGAAAATCAGTAGCCCTACTATATACAGAAGATAAAAGGGCTGAAAAAGAAATCAGAGAAACATCACCGTTTACAATTTCCACAAACAACATAAAGTACCTTGGGGTAACACTAACCAAACAAGTGAAAGACCTGTATAGCAAGAACTTTGAATCTTTAAAGAAAGAAATTAAAGAAGCTCTCAGAAAATGGAAAGATCTCCCATGCTCTTGGATAGGTAGGATCAATGTAGTCAAAATGGCAATCCTGCCAAAAACAATCTACAGATTCAATGCAATCCCCATTAAAATCCCAGCACA